CCTTTAGGCATACGGAATGTGGATCTCTTGCTAATGTTCAGGGCAGCCACGCCTGCCTCTCAACTTCCTATAAGTATTAAATAAAATGCCATCTATCAGAATTCTGCCTCAGAAAGTGAGACCAGTATTCTCCATATCCTTCTTAAAATCTATCATGGGCCATCTTTGTACAAGTTGAGGAAAAAAAGTGATTTGGCGGCCCTGAGAACCCCCCACCCACATATATTATCCCAAGACTCTGCACGAGTCCCTCCATTGGGAAAGCATTGAAGGTCTGTGTTGAAGTCTTACCTGGGAAGAAGAACACATTAAACTGTGATGACATTGACTTGAATTTAATTCTAAAACGGCCTTGATAGTCACCTAGCAGGATCTGAGGACACAGGATAGAAAACAGGCCAGTTCTGATGAAGAAGGAGATTTTTTGGTGGTGGACAAAGCACAGAATTGAGAAATCGAGAGAGGACACTGGAAGTGGGTCAAGGACAGCAGGTGTCTGGGGACAGTGAATAGCATCTGGGGGAGAGTCCAGAAAGTCCCCAAGGGAAGTTCTGCCCATGATAGTTTTGTTGGCTTTGACCCCGCAGTTTCCTACAGCAGAGTTAAAGATGTGGAAAAGGGGTGTGTGTGTGTGTATAACATACACAATGTTTTATTTTGAGACCTTGATAGGTTTTTCATATGTTCCTGGCTGAGTGGAGTACATCTCTAATCAAGATCGGAACCTCTAATAGTAACACATTTTAGAAAGTTACAAGGAGGAAGGATGTCCATTATAATGACTCTTGAAATATAATAAGATTCTGGAATGCCTGAAGAATTATAAAATAAGATTAAATTATTGTCACTACAGATTCAAATATAATTCACTGTATCTCATGATCTAAACATTGGCTGTTTCTTACTTTTTAATTCAAAGAATACTTATTGCATCCCTGCTTTTCCAGGTACTAAGCCAGACCCCCAGGATACAGTGATGGACAAGACATACAGTCCCTGCCCTCAAGGAGCTAAGATTTGAGTGAGGGCAGTAAACTTATGTGTGCAGACAGAATAGTCTGAGCTAGAGAATAATGGGGCCAGGACACTCACTGGTCAGGGGAGGGCTCGTCCACGTAGTAGCATTAAATTCGAAAGATGCAAGGTGAACAGGATGCAGCATGTTCCTGGATGTAGAAACAACATGCACAAAAGCCCTGAAGTGGGAGAGTCAGGTGCTTCGAAGACTAGGACATCAGTGAAAAGAACCAAATGAGACTGCCAGGTGGGCAGGGGCCAGTTTATTAGGGGTTCCTAGGCTATACAAAGACTTCTGGGTTCCATATGAAGTGCAATGGGAAACCAGTAAAGGGTTTGAAACAGTGAAGTGACAAGATCCAACTTTGATTCTGAGGAAAGCTCTCTAGTGCTATAGAGTGGGGTTGGTCAGGAGCCAAGGATGGGTGGGGAAGTCAGTTAGGAAACTGTTGAAGAGTCCACACCAGCCGAGGAGTGGAGAGAAATAGGTGGGTTTGAGATACGTTCGGGGTGACACTGATGTGACTTGTTGATAGTTTGGATTTGGGAGATGGTGATGCACAAGGCAGAAGAATCAATGTGTTGCTTAGGTATTTAGTTTGAGCACTTTGATGGGTGCTAGTTATTGAGACTGGGAAGACCATGAGAGTCAAGTTGTGGGTGAAAAACAAGAATTTAATTTGTATTAAGATGTACATGTCTGTGTGACCGCTAAGAGGGTATAGTGAGTAGGCAGCTGAATGCAAAGTCTGAAGTTCAGAGAAGATGTACTTTTTAGATCCATCATCTGACAGATACTACTTAAAGCCAGGAGCACTGGTAGAATTACCTAAGGAGACATTATAATGGGATAGGGGAGGAGGGCCCATAGATACCAATATTAAGAAATCAGGTAGAAAAATGTTCTGACAAGGGGATTTAGAAGGAAATACCAGAGAGTGTGAGGGCAGAAAGGCCAATGAGACTGAGGGTGTCAAGAAGGAGGGAGTGATCAGCTGCTGGACATGCCTCCAAGAGTTGAATTCGATGTGGAGATAAAAGGATTGACTCTTCTTCCAAGTTCTTGCTGAGCTTGGCCGGAGACATTTCAGCAGAGTGGTGGAGTTCTTTAGTAACTAGAGTATTTTGTCAACTAACTAAAACATCTAGTCTTCAAGCATTTTGAATACATGAGGTTGAAGTTAAGTTCTGTAATCCTCTAAGTGAGTCAGAGAAATAGTGGGGAGACTGCAAGATTGAACTCTCATGCTCACAGCTGTATAGCCCTCTGGCTCTTTGTTGCCAAAACAGAGACCAAAGCTTCAAACAACAGAAACTGTTTGGGATGCTTTGGCATTTCTCCTTTGTTCCAATATCAATATCAATCTCAGATTGAATAGATAAATATAATCGAAGATTTTTACTAATTGTTTTTTATGAATATGTGGAGCAAACAATTATAATAGCAGGGACCTTTCTGAACACTTACTATGTTCAAGGCCCTGTACCATATTCTTTCCAGGTATTAAATAATTTATACCAGCTTTCAGATGAATAAATGAAGGCTCAGTGAAATTATTTAACTTGATCGTGAGTGGCAGAACCCAAACACGAAGTTTTAACCACTAGGCTACCCTGAAATTTGTTAACTAATAAAAATCACTTTGCTTAAAAATGCAAACAATCAAGGATCTCTCTGAAAGTTAGATCAATATTTGTGAGTTCACTTATTTGAAATAGAACGAGTTGCTTTAACAGTTACCAACTGACTTGAAAACAGCTGGGGTAAGTTTGCAAAGTCATATGAGGATTGCAACGATAGCTCAATGAGAGTGTTCAAAAGAAACAAGGCATAAAACCAGCTGTTTGATATTTAGAACCACATATGGTTTTAATATTGCAATTACTGTTTCTAGCTATTCATCCAGAAATATCTAAATCTTGAATTAATTTTAAAATGCTGATCTTAGAGTATTTGGCACATGCAGAATATCAAAGATGGTGTCTTTAGTTTTTTTCCAAAGAGTTGGAACATTGACAACATCTAGGCATTGGTATGATGCATTATTTTATATTTGACTTGAAAACACTTTGAGTTATGGCAAAAATGATATAATATTATTTGTATATAAACTCTTAACAATAGCTATTCTAATAATGTTGTAGTTGCTGAATACACTAAGAGAGCAAATTTTTACTTGCGATTTGTTTCCATGTTAGTTACTTCAATATAAAAATTAATTTAAGTAATGTTTCAGATTTCCATTGCAGGGATGATATTTACTAAGTCTTTCATTGTAACAGCTCCAAAGTAGGCATCTCCATTCAGACAGACAAACAATTATCGGAGGAAACACATTCATGTTAAAAATGATGCCAATGACAGGCTCAGATGGGGTAGGCACTGCATATATCCATTTTTTTTCTTTAAATAGAAAAAGAATACTTTTCACATGTGCAGTAATCACTCCAGTAGCAGGGACTTTTCAATCCAGTAATAATATAGTTAAGTTTATAGAAAATATAACAATATTAGTGAAGCCCAAGTATATAACACTACTATTCAGAAAAGAAAATAGAATTGTGAAATAATATATTTCAAAAATATAAATCATTGTATATGACACCAAAAGAATAGACACCAAACAAAAAAAATAGATGAACTGGACTACAAAAAAATAAAAAAATAAAAACTTCTGTGCTGCAAAGGACACAATTAACAGAGTGAAACAGCAACCCACAATGTGGAAGAAAATATTTGTAAATCACTCTGTCTGATAAGGGGTTATTATCGAAGTATGTAAAGAACTCCTACAACACAACAAAACCGAAACAAACAACCACATTAAAAAGTGAGCACAGGCTAATAAAACATGCTTAACATCACTAATTCTTAGGGAAATGATCATCAAGACCACTGTGGGATACCATCTTACATTCATTAAGATGGCCACTATTAAGAAAAAAAACTCAAATTTACCCCCCCCCAAAGAAGCCCCAGAAAAAAACAGAAAATAATGTTGACGAGGATGGGAGAAATCGGAACCATTGTGCATTGTTGATGGGAATGTAAAAGGGTGCAGCTGCTGTGGAAAACAGTGGTTCCTCAGAAAATTGCAAGTAGAATGATCATATGATCCAGCAATTCCGTTTCTGGGTATGTACCCAAAAGAATCGAAATCAGGGGCTTGAACAGATTTTTGTACATTCATGTTCATAGACGTGTAGAAGCGTTATTCACAGTACCCAAAAATGGGAGCGTCCAGTGTCCATCAGGAGGAGTGGATAAACAAACTGTGGTCTGGTCATGCAGTGGCATATGATTCAGCCTTAAAAAGGAAGAAAGTACTGACACATGCTACAACATGGTTGAAACTTAAGGACATTATGTTAAGTGAAATAGAGTCACAAAGGGATGAATACAGCGTGATTCCACGTACAAGTTACCTAGGGTAGCCAAATTTGTAGAGACAGAAAACAGAATGGTGGTTGCCAGGGGCTGGGAGTAGTGGTGGTGGTGGGGGTGAGAAATGGGGAGTTATTTTTTGATAGGTCCAGAGGCAAGATGAAAAGTTATGGATGGTGGGGATGATTATACGATGTGAAAGTACTTAATGCCACTGAACTGTACGCTTAAAAATGGTTAAGATGGTAAACTTTGTTATGTATATTTTACCAGGATTTAAAAAAAAAGATATATACAAATCATTGTAAGCTGTGTGGCTGTAAAAAGTTTGGAAGAGAAATTTAAGTTATAAGAGGCTGCATGGACATTGGTAATTAATTAAGAATGAATCTGAAAATATTTTCAGAGCTCCTTCATACATAATCAGGTACCTATGGCTATATGATGTCTAATTACATATATAATCGTATATCCAATTATGTCATTATATATAATGTAAAATCTACTGTGTTCTCTTTGGTGATGAGGATTTTCTGGAGTTGATGATGAAAGGAACGGTATACAGTAAGTTCAATTCAGATATCCTACTGTGTTGCAGATCCGTGGCCCCTGGTCCACGTGGTTTGGAGACACAATGACACGTGGCAGCTCGTGGAAACTCTGGCTCTGGGCGGCCCTGCTGCTGCTTCCTGCTTCCGCTTCCGTGACGGTCAGGGACAAGACAGGTATCCAGGCCACCTCCTTGTTTGCTCACCAAATGTTATTTATAAATAACATCTATACATGTTCATGTAAATGTCTTTATATCTAAAAGTGATGAAAGTAAATCTTGTTAAGGTTGAAGAGGTCGTCGATTAAATCTACTAGCACAAAATAGATAATAACTTATTGTTTCTCCCATTTACCTTCACATCACACATTAAGATTTTCTAAAGTTACCTCATTTTTTCATATGTCTAAATAGCCTTTTCTTTCTCTCACTGATATTTACAAATAGAAGGATGTGTGTGCATCTCTGTGTGTATGTATATATATATATATATATATATATATATATATATATCTCCCTTTCCCTCATTAAATTATAAGTTATTCAAGTTATTCAAATTGTAAGTATGAAAACCCATCACCATTTAGGATTAACCAGGGACAGAGCTAATGTTAATTAAGGAAAAGTGAAAAACAGAATTGGAGCCATAGAAGGAAATGTAGTTTAATTATGTCTCAGTTTTATGTGTCTCAGTCTCAGATGTGGTGAACAAATGATCAACAGTCCTAGAGCATTTTTTGATCTAAATAGGTAAAATTTATTTGCAGTTCTTAAAGTATCAACCTCATAAATACTTCCAAAGGACTGAAGGCAGTTTGAAGTAATTACTTCCACCTCTGATTTTTAAAAATGATTACGTGGCTAATTTGGAAAACTTTTCTTGAATACTGAGTATGTGTAACTCACTGGTCTAGATGGACTTCGTATTACGAACTGGACACATTGAAAAGCCATTTGCTAGGCAAAGAGAAAATTCAACCCTTCTATGCAAAGCATCACATACGACATATTCTGACCATTGTCACAGTGATGATGTGTTCTGAGACCATGAGTCTTACTGCGCTTACTCTTTGAAACATTTCTTTAATAATTTTTGCAAAACAGGTATAGACACACCCTAGCAGAGACTTTTGAGTCTGAAGTATACTCATACAATAAAAAAATCTTTTATAAAGATTTAACAAATCTTAGCCTCTCAGAGCATTTTGTAAGTCTTTACAATTTTTTGAATTAATTTGGCATGAGGTACATTTCATAAAATAATCGACATGAAAGTATAAATATTCTAACACCATATAAATGACATCCTATGGCTGTCATACTTTTGGGAGGAGGAAAACTCTTCAGAGAAATCAGGAGTAACTCATGACAAATAGAAGTACATAAGAAAACAAACTTATGGTTACCAAGGGGAAAAGGGGAGGAGGGATAAATCAGGAGTTTGGGATTTGCAGATACTAACTACTATATATAAAATTAACAACAAGGTCCTACTGTATAGCACAAGGAACTGTATTCAACACCTTGTAATAACCTACAATGAAAAAGAAAGTGAAAAGAATATATCTGTAACTGAATTATTATGTTATACACCAGACAGTAACACTCAACATTGTAAATTAACCATACATAAATTAAAAAAAGTACACAGGGCAGATTTTATTCTGATAATGTTGCTTTTCTTCTGAATTTATTTACATCTCTCCCTTTTAAGAGACATCCTAGGTAATGCAATTTGCTACTTAATCAGAGGGGCCAGGGCTTTTTCGGTCAGAAAAGAAAATGAGTCAGTTGCTAGGCACATGCTAGTGTTCCTGAAGATAATGATTTGAAGGATCTACGTAAATGGTTTTCCAGTTCTAGTGGGAGCAAGAATCACCAGGGGTATTGATTCTGGAGTCTCACTCCTGGAGATCTCTCTTACGCAGGACAACCTGGGGTGAGATTCAGTAATTAACATTTTTAACCAGCTCCCCACGTGAACGTAACGCAGTGTGTTTGAGGCAAACAGAGAAATACTTGCCTTTGGGACAAGTAACTTTCTTTTTTTTAAATTTTTTTCTCAGCTGTTTATCTTCCGCCATATGCTACCAGGCTCCATTAATTTTATTCCATTTTATTGATTAATTAATTTTGCCTTTAATAACTCTTTATTTTGTGTGTGCGTAAAAACATTTGATGTGAACTCTACTCTCGACAAATTTCTAAGTGTATAATACAGTACTGTCCACAATTTTGTACAACGGATCACTAGAATTTAATCATCTGGTGTTAACTGAAACTTCCCCCTCTTGGGATTCCCCTGAATGTTTTGGTCTTGTAGCTTTGGTAATTCAATTCTTTTTTTTTTTTAAATGAAGTATAGTTGATTTACAATGTTGTATTAGTTTCTGGCGTACAGCACAGTGATTCATTCATACATATATATATATTTTTCATATTCTTTTCCACTGTAGATTACTGCAAGCCATTGAATAGAGTTCCTTGATAACTCAACACTTGAAGGTTATATTGTATATGGGACTACTGAAATGCATATATTCTGACCCAATTTACTTTACCCAATTAATCTTTCTGAAAGATTTTCCTCCAAGTGTGAATTCAAAATTAATCTGAACCCTCACAGACAAAGAAAACAAACTTATGGTTACCAGGGGGGCAAGAGGGTGGGAAGGGATAAACTGGGAGCTTGAGATTTGCAGATATTAACTACTAAATATAAAATAGATAAACAACAATTTTCTTCTATATAGCACAGGGAACTATATTCATAACCTCATAGCAACCTATATTGAAAAAAATCTAAAAATGAATATATGTATGTACATGCATGACTGGAACACTATGCTGTATACCAGAAATTGACAAAACATTGTAAACTGACTATACTTCAATTAAAAAATAATAAAAAGAAAAAGAAAATTAAAAAAATTAATCTGAATGCTAATCAGTCACATAACATGAAGCACTGAGGGAAATTAATAAAGAAGAAAAAGGAAGAGCTGATTTTCATCAGGCCATTTGGTGGGAGGTGCTGGTGAAACACATGCTAAACGTACCATGGAAATTGCTTGACTTCAAGTTGCGTTTGCCTTCATTGAAAATGTCAGCACAGCACTGTCAGAGGGATTACTGAAGAGCAGGACACGCCGGGCACAGCCTGCCAGGGGCTCTTCTGTGTCTTGTGTATCTGACTCACAGCGCAAGGTTTCCTTTTTGGTTTCCTCATGTGCAGACCTGCGCGTGTGGTCACTAACCATTTACCGGAGGGAAGTGATTACAGCTAAAAATAAAATATAGCAAATCTGAGGGAGAGGCTAGGGTTTCAGCTCTGGACTCTGAGAAGTTGTCAACAGTCTGCTATTAAACCTAAATATACGAAGGATAAATGGAGTCTTTTAATTGCTTTGCTTGACTCTGTGGTGTGCTGAACGATTACTTGCAGTGTTGGCCCAGTTGAGACAGAATTCAGAGTCATATGGGGCGATTCAATAACTCTGAATATTAAAATCTGGAAGCTATTAAGAATTATTTATTTTACATTCTGTCGTAAGTTTTACTTTTATATTGTGATTATGAGATAAGGCAGATTTGCATATTTTCAGGCTGCACATAAATAGTTTGAATATGGCCTTTTCGACTAGTTGTCAAAAGACGTATGGGAAGAGAGTTGTATGAACGAATCCACGTTGCACAGACCATCTCAAACTTGCTATAATCCGTTTCTTAAAACTTTCCTCTATAACAGAAGCTTATGTGTCAAATAATTAAAGGTTCCTCTTTCTCTACTTTTCTAAAGCCAAAGTACTGAGTTATCGTCAAAAGTAATAAAAACAGAAAACAGGGCAAGAAAGAGCAGCAAAGCCAGCCAGACTTAATAAAGAGAGACGTGATTGAATGTCATTCTTTCACTTATGATAGTAAAACTTCAGGTTCAATTTCTTGATGGAATTAATTATCACTGGAGGTCTCCAACTATAAATATACACCATTTTAAACTAGTTTTCTACTGAGTATAAGGAAAAACTATTCTGAAATTTGGCTTTTACTAACTGACACACACTGCATTCTTTTTTTTTGTTGTTCTTTTTATTTAATGGAAGTATGGTCAGTTTACAATGCTGGGTCAACTTCCGGTGTACAGTATGATGTTTCAGTCACATACACATACATATATCTCTTTTTGTATTTTTTTCATTATCAGTTATGACAAGATATTGAATATAGTTCCCTGTGCTATACAGTAGAAATTTGTTCTTTATCTATTTTATATGTAGTAGTTTGTATCTACAAATCTCAGACTCCCAATTTACCCCTTCTCACCTCCTTTCCCCCTGGTAACCACAAGTTTGTTTTCTATGTCTGTGAGTCTGTTTCTGTTTTGTAAATATGTTCATTTGTGTCTTTTTTTTTCAATTTCACATATGAATAATATCATATGGTATTTTTCTTTCTCAATACATGGTAGATGTATTTTTAGTTTTTTGAGGAATCTCCACACTGTTTTCCATAATGGCTGCACCAAACTACATTCCCACCAACAGACACACTGCACTCTTATACTCAGAGCAGAACATATGCTGTCAGATAGAGAAATTTATTTTGTGTTTTGAAGAATTCCTTATTTTTAATATGGTAACATCTAAGAACCCTACTACTGGCAAATGTACTTTGTAACTGGTGAATTTTTGAAGTTCGGGAAAGCTTCACAATTATTAAATAAAGATTATAGCTCTTAACCAGGTATTCTCCTTCAGAGGGACAGCTTTGGATAAAAAAAAAAGTATTGGATGGAGGGTACAGCTAAGTTGTAGAGTGTGTGCTTAGCATGCATGAGGTCCTGGGTTCAACTCCCAGTACCTCCCCTAAAAAATAAATAAATAAACCTAATTACACCCCCAAAATAAAAAATAAATCAAAAACAAATAAGCAGTAAAGTTTCTGTGACAGCTCATTACCTCTTTTAACTAGCTGGGTTCCCATTTTTTTCCTCTTGTTTGGTGACTTTTCCAGATTTATTTTGTTATGTTCTGGTCCAACGTTCATTACCTACTTTTGTTAACCACTGTATTTCTACCAACCTGTAATATTTAATCAGAGGTATTATCAAAGTCTGAAGTGTACAGGATCCTGAGGGGCACTAGTAATCAAATGAAAGGGGTCTGTCAACAGGAA